CCCCCCGTTCCCACAAATTCTCGACCCCCCCCCTCCCCGGGGCGTGACGTAATTTGCGAACGACCCCTTTTCTGACTGTTCACTTCTAAAAAATTTCATCCTCATCAAGACTGTTAGCAACTGCCTACAGTTTCCTCTCAACGTGTTAGTGTGGTAGTGTTACTAATGTAAACACATTCCTGAATTCACCAACAACGTAACGAAATGGTGATTTATTTGTTGTTAAATTTTTTATATTTCTTCTTATTAGTAAAATCGATAATTATGATAATATATATTTTAACTAGTCACTTAGTCAGACTTGCAGAATATTAATTAAACTATACTCATAGAATAGAAGTAACTGCGAATCATATTTTTATCTATCTATTTTCACTGATTCACTGTGCTAGTGCTACTGACTAATGAATTTAACTTAACTAATAGAAAATGAGTCATTTTATATTGTGCTAACCTGATTGCAGTCTCTCCCCTTATTACCCTAATAAACTAATGACTAATAGTATTACTATTACTTATTACCTACTTGTCGTTGTCGTTAGTAGTGTACCCTATACTTATACTATGACTATATGACAATCATCACTGTCATACAATTAACAATTTCAATGACAATAGTGATCATTTTTATATGATTGAGACTGGGTTACTGCCCTATTCCTTATGATAACTAATGACAATGAGTCAGAGTAGTGATGAGTTAAGAAATTTAGACAGTATAAATTATAAATTTTAGTATTTTTAGAGAATCGTTAATTTTCTAGTTTACCAATTCTCCAGAATTCTCTCTGCTTTCTAATTTTTGTAAATCATGTTAAGACTCTATTTCCTTATCTCAACTATTTAGTCTTCATCAACTTTGCCAGAGGAAGACTTTTGGGTCTTTTTCCGATTTAGGTCCTACCTAGAGACAGTTCTTTCATCAGCCCTTTAATGGGTTAAAAGTATTACTCATGCTGATGCCTTCGGTCTCGTCCGAGTGACAGGACCAAAATTATTCTCACACATCAACATACTGGTAGTCACTGGTAGTCTGGTAGCCAAACTTGTTTTCCTTATAAACTGTGTTATTCTCCTCACCGACCCGGACACCGATGACATTTTCTCTTCCCCGCCTCTCATTTTTTTCAGAAGAGATAAAACTCTGCAAGATCTGCTTGTGCATAGTCGTATCCACTCTGCCCCCTTTTTGGGACCAAGCCTTGTGGATGCAACTATTGCAAAACTGCTTGCCCTTTTTTCATCCAGATTCAACACATTTTACACATTCCCTTCCCTAAGAGCAGTTTTCAGATAAGGGATTGTTTCCTTTGTACTAGCCGCAATGTTGCCAATGCCATTGTTTGCACCCAATACCAGATGGCATATCTAGGTGAGACTGGACAGATGAAATCAACGCTGCCATAATATTGCGAAAGATAACCAATGTCCCATCTCAAAACACTTTAATAGAAGCCACCACAAGGGCTCAGGGGATTTAGCTACCATTGCCATTGTGCCTTGTACAAACACACCAAACCTGGTGAACTTGGAAACTGATTCAGACTGATGAAACCTTGACACCACATGACATGAAATGTGTTATTTTATTTTATATTGTTTTTACTGTTGTTTGTTCCTGAAGAAGACTTCTTGGTAACATGTTGTTTTGTTGCATACTTTTTTTACATTTTCTCATACTTTGTTTCACTCCCTTCCTTTTAATTTTTGTAATACATATTAATAATTAATTAAAATTAGGGATAATTTTTAAATACACCACAGCTCAAACACACACAAAAATAACAATAGTAAGCCTAGGTTTTATTTTAACACTACATATTAAATTATTGAAAAGTGACTAGAATTAGATGTAGCCTACTCATCAGTTACATTATAATTATATTAATTAATATAGATTGTAAATCATTACTCAAACAAGTGATAGGATAAGTCGTAAATAATAATGTTAAATAGAGGATTTAGGCTGCTGGTCGCTGGTACACATTTTTTTAAAGAGAGTTAGTTTAATTATAAATATAAGTTATAGAATAAGTATAAGCGTCTTTCTAATTAACTTCATGCAGGGTAATGCTAACACCTCAACAGAGCCCAGATCAAATTTTGAAAATGGGGATACAAAAGCTAGTAGTACTAGTAGAGAAAAGCATCACAAGAGATTCTCAACATGTAAGTTTTGCCTTTAAATTTTACTTTTTTAAAGTGTTGAGTTAATAAAAAGTTTAGTGAAAACATGGAAACAATATGCTAAAAATAATTTTTTAAATGGCAAGTACTTTTTTTATTTGGATCTTCCGACAGCAGAAGCAAGAAATGAAGTTAACATTTATAGAAGATTTCAGCTCTGAAACAACATTTGACTATTTTGACTGACTGTTTAATTTTTTTTAAGGCATAATTCAAATATTCTGTGTATACCTAGCTAAAATAGGATAGGGGCAGATCAGGGACGTGCTGGCACATGGAAACCCGTGACGAACGGTGTAGTAAGAAAGGCCCGGAGGCCCACCCGCACACCGGAGATTGTAATAACTGCCCAAAAAGGCCCATGACGAATGGTCGTCGCGTCGTCATGGGCCAGCACGTCCCTGGGGCAGATAGATAGTGAAGATAAACATTGAAACTAAGTTATACTAGTTATAGTTTTAGTGATTTCCAAATTTTTTTTCTGCTCACTCATAATACAATTTTAAGAATCAGGAGGGTCATTTTTTAACATTAGTGTTTTTGTCCTTTGAAGTTCTTACACTCTTTTGCTTTTTTTAATTTTATTTACCTAACACTACCAGGGATGCTAACTGTTTTTTCAAATTTTATTTAGTTACTCCAAAACAAAAAGAGGCTTTGTTGAAGCGATACAATTTGTACGATTCCTCATCAGGAGGAGTGGTTGGAATTCCATTGGATGTTTGTTTAGCCATGCCAGAGTTTGTAGGAAATAAACTGATTGGAGTCCTTATTCATGACTTTGCTAACTCCAGAACTGGATGCATGCACCAAGAAGAATTCCTCAACTTTTGCTCCTTTCTACACCCACTAACAAGCATTGAAGAAAAGAAGAAAGGTGGTCTAATAAATTTTCCTTAACATTTTTTCACATATTTTTGGAAGAATTTTAATTACAGTGGAACCTTGGATAACAAACTTAGTCTATTCTGTGACTCTGTTCTTAAATCAAAATAATTTTTTTCATACTGAGATCTATGTAAACTTAATTAATCAAAATTAATGTGTTCCAACCTTAGAAATATTATATTTTGCGATTTTTAAGTTTATCTTTAATGATAAATAAAGAATGACATTAAAATATCTTTAAATATAGACATATTAAACTAAAATAAAACTAATAAAATAATAATGTACCAGGTACTTTCTTTACTTAAACGAAGTGGCTATTCAGACCCGGGTCCGAGAAGTGAGAGGTTGGGATTAAAATTTTACAAAATATATTATTGTTAGGTTGTAAGACAAAATTTGGTATTATATGAAAAATAATTGAATTATTAGCTTACTTATTCAGCTTAACTAAGATAAACTACCACAAAAAGAAGAAAGTTTACAAACCTATAGTCCATTCAATTATCTTTCATTTGATACCAAATTTTGTCTTACAAACCCTACAATAATTTTTAAATATTTTTAATAAACCCAAACTCTCACTTCTCGGACCCTTCTCGGACCCGGGTCCGAAAAGCCGCAGCCTTACTTAAACACTAACACGATTCCTATTAATAATACTTTTTTCTTTAGGCACCTTAATTTAAAAGTCAATGTTTACAGTACCCCACTGCAAACGCACCAAGGCATTAATGAGCCAGTGGGATTGTGTGTACAGACGATTTTGTATGTTTGTACACTTTTAAGTAGCTTCGTTAACAAGACATTTTTTTTATTTGTTGGTTAACAATTTGTTAAATGGGGCATTCATTATCCAAGGTTCTACTGAAAATTCTATATTGATAACAATAATAAGATCATTTGGGGGCTTTGATAGAATTTGTAAATTATTCTAGCTTCATTTTTAAAAAGTTTTGTTATAAATAGTATTTACGAAACAGCTATTTCTTTTTTGTTTTCTTTCCACAGTTCTTTACGACTGCTTTAATGTTTATGGTACAGACTGGATGACACATGATGAAATTTTTAGACTTTACAAAGTTCTTCTGGGACACACAGTCAGTGATGATCACATTTTGGCCTTAACTTTCAAAGCTCTTCAACATCCAAGCTTAAAAGTCAAGGGTCAAATTAAAAAATTTGAATTTATGCAGGTTGTTCAATCAAGTATATGCTTATAATATAGTCATAATATCATCTTACTAATCGTGTACAATTGGATTTATATATTTTAAAATTGTTAATGCAGCTTTGACTTTAATAATGGCATATTATCTGGCCCATTAATAACTTTTGCACCTACAGAAAAACTGCTTATTATTTATTTAATTAAAAAACTGCACAGTAATTGAAATTAAAAATATTTTTATCAATATAATAAGTATTATAAAAATTCATATTTTGTACAACAATCTCCTCACCAAATAATCTGTAAAACTGTGTAAAAACATCACATTGATTCTTTTAATATCACATTATTCATTTACCTAATGCATCCGTAAATTATACATTGGTAAGACAAGGTTTAGTATGTACAGACTAATAACATATTACCAACATAGATTATGTACATTTTTGTGTGATCCCTGTGCAATCTAAATTGTCTTCTACCCCTTTAAGTGGGGTAAATTTGAGAATTTATTGAGAGTTATTTAATCTGTGCCAAGGGGTTATTTTTATGATTTATATATTATATAAATAAATTAACCAGTTACAGTTTAATTTTTTAAAACTTTAATTGTGAATTTTTGTTATATTTCAGATGGCATCTGATTCTGAAATTGAACAAAGATTAACAGTTATTTTCAACGTGCCACCAGGATAAATGGATAACTGAATTCCTCAAATATTGTTTGTTCACTCCTGCATTTACTATAAATAACAATATATTTTTATAATAACCCTATAGTTTACACAGAAATGTGCAGCCATGGGTTCACAAATTCTTAGATTCCTAGGAAAAACTCTAAATAGAAAGAAAATGGTGTCAATGACTTAAATTTGCTTCCATACTAAAAATTTAAAAAAATGGGGTACAAATTACAGTTATCAAATTCATAATTATGAGTAAGCTGTAATTTTAAAGAAAAGGAAAAGCAAAGAAAAGTTGAATAAACATGTTTTCATTCTCTGTCTTTCACTTCTTTTAGGATACTGTACGAAAAATAGCTCATGATATTGAAAAGATAAAAAACGCAAAATATATTTTCCGAATCCCTTAATGCTTGACCACACTTCAAACCTCATTCTATTCTATGAATTGATGAAAACTTAAATAATCTATGCTGTACATTATCAATAACGGCTAGTCAATTATCATTAATTTAAAATGCTAGAGTTTGCCATTCCTCAGATCTCACATGATAAGAATAATTATTGTTGCCGAGTGTCAACATTATTTATTAAACTTTGCATTTAATCAACCAGCTTTTTTAAAAGAAATTTTCATATTCCTGAATTTCCTTGACATTCTGACTTTTACTTCTACTTCTAAATCATTGACACTTTCAATGACAGCTGTAAGGTTATATCAACATGCAAATATATATCAGAATCTGAAATTTCTTAGACACATCAAACCATTCAAAGATAACTTAATAATTAAATTATAAAAATATTCAAAAGAAATTTAAAGTTTTTCAGGATATGAATTCAATCAACTTATTAATGTCGTTCCACAAATCTGCCTTTTGTCCCTCCATAAACAAATCTTCCATTGTTTGAGTTGCTGTTCCATTAACAGGATTTGAGGTTTGTGTTCACTGTGTATATTGCTTTAAATTTAAGTCACTTTTAACTTTTGACTAACTCCCTGGAACCAACTCTTCAAAAGAAAAAAACCAAAAACAAGGTTTCACTGTATACCACTATAACACGGTGCCATCATCATGGGCGCCCGCAGGTAGTGGCAAGGTGGGGCACTTGCCCCCCCCTGGATTGATTGCATAAAAAATTAAAGTAAAGAGAAAATAAAGAGAAAGTAAATAAGCTGATATCCTGTCCGTTCGTTCACCATACAAATACGCTACAGTAAATTAAAACTATATTAAAACATTACTAGAAATTTTTTGCTCCGCACACCCTGGAAAGTTAATCGATTTTTTTGCCCCCCCCCTGGAAAGTTTTCTGCGGGCGCCCATGGCCATCATTGTAGATCACATTACCAATTTGAAGTGGCTATTCGCACCCGGGTATCAGAAGTGGAAAAAGTGGCATAGCCGCTATTTGGACCCGGGTCCCTTTAGAGTAAATCCCATTCGGTTATCATTTGTGGTAATTTATTTTAGTTAAACTGAAGAAGTAAGTTTACAAACATATAATCCATTCAATTATCTTTGATTTGATACCTCATTTTGTCTTACAAACCCAACAATAATATTTTTTAAAGTTTTTTAATCCCAACTCTGATACCCGGGTGCAAATATTCACAGCCCTATCAATTAATATTTTTTCAGACCTGAATTGACAAAACTGAAAAAAATTATAAACATCAGATTAAAAAATGATGTGAGAAATCCTACTTACTTCCACTTTCTAAATTATTAAATTTTTATATTGTTACTGCTTATTATTTTTTTTATTTCTATTGCATTGGCTATACAAAAACTACTATACTAAACACATACCATACCGGTACTTAAAATGCTATATGAATATGCACCTTGGTTCATGTATTTTTAATAATTTATGTGTATAAACATAATATAACCAGATGATTATTTTGCTACTTATGGTCTTCTTTATTGTTTCTGTGTTCACCTATTTTCTAGTACTAGTAATAATAAATGAAAAGAATCTTTAGGTTCATGTAATTAATTTAAAGAAAAAAATTATCTAGCAATTATAGGTTCGCCATCCTCAATCATTGTAAACACCAAATGAGTGGTCATCAAATACTATAATTATCCTTACTGTAAGCACTCACAGTTAAAAAAACAAAAGGCAGACAATTTTCGCAGCTGTATCATTTTAACCAACACAATTTGTTCTAATATGGTAATGTACAAAGGGTAACTTTTATGATTTTGTAATAAGTAGGAATCAATATTTTCTATCTTAACATGCATGTTTGTGATAACTGCAGGATACTGGCACAAAAAGGTATCAAAGAGAATAAACAAATAATTATATACTAAAACTGGCGACATGTTTTTGAAGAATGTATGCATATTTGTTTTATCGATATCTGAATCATTTTTAAAAATGAATTTATGTACATTCTTCAAGAGCACAATTAACAGAATAGACTTTATGAATCGCGTTATGCTAAACCTTATTGACAGTCCTCATTACAATTAATGAAACATTAAAATTATATCTCTAAGCCGTCCAGGAATAGGCAAGGTATAAACATTTCCCATATGCTGTCTACATGCCTTCCAAATTACCTGGGAACAACAGCATTGTAAGAGCCATGGTTCCTTTGATGCCTTTTCAAAGGCGTGAATGATTTTCGGAAATGTATCACTTCCTTCTAAATGGAACCTTTCCAATGACTCAGTTTTATTATTTTCTCTTGCAAAATGTCTTAATTTTTCAATGCTATATAAAAATTCTTTGTAGGCTAAAATTATAGAATTTTGTGACATAAACTTCAAAATGTAGACGAAAGACTTTAAATCTTGTTCAGAAAATACAAGATTTTCTCTTACTTGACTAGGTCTGCTTAAAAGAGATAAAGTCCAGAGTGAAAATGGAAGTATGTTCAAGGCATATAAAATGCAAATTTGGAAATCTGGCACTGACCATGCACCACAAGCATCAGCATCAATGCCATACCGCAACAAGACCCTCAAAATAGGGTTGCTTATAAAATGTATGGGTCTAGTTGAAAGCATCAAATGCAAAGCCGTTCCAGTATGAAATAAGGGATTTGAATCAAAGTGGTCATAACTATTTGAAATGAACTTTCCCTTATGACTTAGATCAGCACCATGTCTCAGAAGTAGTTCAATGCTTTTATGAATATATTTATCAACAGGATTTGCTTGAGGTGATATATCTGTATCATTTATTTTAAGGTTGGGGATATTGCTCAAAATACATTTAATTGCAGAAGAGTATGGCTGCCTCCCAAATGCTGTGCTCTGTTCTAAATCATTCATCTTCTCCTCAATCAATATTTCATCCACATTTGGATCAGCCCCTGCCTGTAGCAAAAGAAGTGTAGTTGCAATCAGATAAGGAGCACATTCTTCCATTGAAATGCCGGTCAATTTATGGCTAAGTAAACTGTACAGAGGATATGTTCTTGAAGGTCTTAAAGAATTCACATCTTGGTTGTGCCTGATTAGGACAGTTGTAATCTCAACCATAGCTTCATATTGTTGTGGTGTGAGACAACAGCTGTATGAGTAAAGAACATGAAACAAGTTCATTCCTTGAAAAGCTTTCTTCACATCCATAGGTCCCTTGTCTCTTAAAACCACATCAACACATTCTGGAGCTAACATCCTGAGGGCACACTCAAATGCCTCTTTTTTTTCAGGATAATTATTCAGTAAGAGCCGTAGAGCATGAGGGGAATTCACTTTACAAGAAAGTGACAGATATAATCCAGATGAATTAGGGTTGTGGACTCTTCCAAAATTTATATTTGATCTTTCACTTTGGACATGCCAAAAGTCAAGAAAGAGCTCAACACATCCAATGTGCTTAAATATAGCTGCAATATCCACAGGTGTCCACTTTATCTTTGCATTTTCTTTTTTGAATAATAGAGTGTCACACTTGACCTTCTCATTCTGGGTTACAAATTCATTAAACACTCCCCAGTCTAAAAGTATTGCATCATTTTGATATCCAATATCTTGAACAATAATTGATATTAAGGAAGTGTATCCAAAGCAAGCTATAAAATGCAAGTATGGCCAAGTCAGAGGAATGTACGGTGGTTTAAAACATCCTCGATTGAGCAGAAGTATGAGGGCAGACATGTTATTATGTAGTATGGAGTAATGTAGAAGATCAAAACAATGTTCATTCTTCCAAGCAGCCATATCATTCGATGAATATTTACTGAGTAATGTCTTGAAATCTGTTGGATCTACATGAAGCTGAATTGCATCTAGTATTAATGAAAAATCTATTGTCTCTTTTACTTTCGGAATAGCAGCAGTGGTTTTAACTTGATTTGATGATAAAAATACAGAGGGACAATTCTGAACTATCTTATCAGTATCAAGAGTATCCATGTCCAGTCTTGTCCTTATTAACCTTAACAGTCATGTGGAAGTATTATTATAAATGTAATATAAATTTAGATTTTATTTCCTCAAGACTCAAAAGTCAGTAGGCCAAACAAATTAATTGGTTTAAACTTCCAAATAATAATTCATAATTATTCATTGTTGAAACAGAAGGAAAATTCAAGTATCCCCCTACAAGTAGGGCCTACTGTTGACACTGTGTTACTCTGGATCAGATCCTAGTATTATCTATTCACCAGGAAGCTCATTTTTTAACTAAAAGGAGTGGATCTGAGATGAAACTTTTGTTGTGTCTAGCTGAATGAGTCTGAAAATGAAAGCCAGCGTTGACATTTGATGTTATATTCAGGATAATATTCAAATTTAACTGTAATATTATAAATATTTTTAAACTAGCCCAGTGGTCTGCAAATCGTGGCTCTTTAGCAACCTGATTGCGGCTCCGAAAAACATGGTTCTTGACAGGTTCTTGAAAAGAAATTGGCTCTCATAAAATGTTTTATTGTCCTGCTGCTGATTTTTGGCTCTTTTGACCATTGAGTTTGCCTACCACTGAACTTGCCTTATAAGTTATTAGATTTATTTATATGACCCTACTAATATTAAAAGCAATAAATTAAAAAATAGTGTACAGTGCAGCCTATATTGCAGTTATTAATGTATATATCTAGATAGTTTCTAGATAGATTATATCTCTAAATATATCTTGCTAACAATCAAACTTGTAAAGTATAATTTCTTTCATCGTATTAATCACAATGATCATGGTTGACTTGTGCTAGACATAGAAGTCTAAGCCACTCATATTCATATACTCATCATAAACATATACTTAAAATACCATGTTACGGATTGAAAGGGGCATATCTTATTCTTAGCATAAGTATAGACTAGCTGGGGCAAAGCAGCCACATTGTGTGTGTAAAATACAGGAAGAAGTGCATAATATAAAAAGATCTTGCGTTTGATCACATACATCATACGGTCATACGCACCAAAAGAACACATTTGTGTAAGGTTCATCCACATATAGTAAGTATGCACTGAGGGGAGAGGGTGGTTTGATTTTGGAGATTTTGTGTAAACGTGCATATGACCTGGGGAGAGGGGTCTCAGAAGAAATTACGTACATTTATTTAAAAATTCTACAATAATCACCCTGAAATTCGGATAGTCAAAAACTAGCATATTTTATTTATAACGCGAATGCTGTAAAAGATATCAGGGGCCGTCCATAGAGTACGTCACGCTCCAGAGGGGGAGGGGGTGTAAGAAAGTGTGACAGAGGGGGGGGGGGTTCAGGCCATGTGTGACGTCACACATTTATTTTTTAAAATTTTATTTCTAATTTAGTTTTTATTAGTAGAATTTAATAGCTTCAAAAATAATTTTCAAAAATTTTGTAAAACATTTGAATTTATTAGTTTTATGTCAAAATAGCATGAAATGCGCATCTCCTGAATGTGTTGCTCATGATTCCTCTCACTAGGAGCGCTAGTAATTATTCTACTATTAAAGTCATTTTAATAATGTGATAGTTCTTTTAAGTGGAAATTTTATATTTTAATACAGTTTAATAGTGAAGTGTGTTTTAGATTAAATTTTAATTAGGTGTTAATTTTTTTAAAAATTTCTTCGAAAGTGTGATGTAGGCCTACTTTAGGGGAGGGGATAGTGGAAACATGGAAGGGATTAGAAGTGCGATGGAAAGGGTTAAAAATGGTAAAAATAGCGTGATGTACTTTATGGACGACACCTCACGCAATGTTTTGTTTTGTTGGAATTATTATCATCATAATGTGGCCATGGCCATGTATTTTACAGATGAACGAGCTAGATAGTACTCAACAGTAGAGGTATTACTTTAATATATAGTCCACAGTATGTTCAACGGGCTTGTGAGATATATTTTGTTGGGCTACGCCAGTGGTTCCTCTATTCTCGGCGCAATGCCAAATTTAGGTTTTCACCAGGTGCACTGTGTGAACTTTGTCAAATTCTAAAGAGTACACTTTGCCAGTACATGGATGCAGCAACGAAACACTACCAGAGCCAGAGTGAATACATAATAAACAAAAAGGGTTGGGTAAAAATAAATAGAATATTAATCATTATGATTATGCAGGCTTAGGCCATGATCTTAACTGTCTTGAGTCTTAACAGGATTGAGGGCCCTGGGCAAAAAATGCCCTGAGGCCCCCTACTCCTCCCTAATAAGTCTCTAACCTCTTAGACTTAGAGTAGTGTTATGAAACGAATTTGAGGCCAGTTTGGTTCATGCATGATCAGTGTTTCTTTCAGACAATAATTTCATCTATCAGCGCCAAAATTAGGCATAATCATAATGACAATGAGTAATGTCACACAGCCCAAATGACGTCAGTGAGTGTACTATCTCTCCAAATAAGCCGTAATAACTTGTATCAAAATGTAAATAATATGAATAATGTCTATCACATTGTTTTTTACGACTATGACTTTGCGTCACTTAAGCCTTAGTATAATCTTACGACGTCTTACGTTTTATTACTGTCATCAGTCAAAATGAATACATGCTGCGGTACCGTAATGCAGTATGTAAATTCAGTTGATTGTGTGTTGCCATGTTTACATTATCCTTATCTTTAGATGACCCTCGACCTTTGACTCTTAAAATAATTAAAATTATCTTACTGCAAAAGGATGATAATAATAATTTCAATTGGTTACTTTATCTTTGTTCAATTCTATTAAATATATAGCTAAGGAAAAAAAATGAATTAGAAATCAATGACCTTTATTTTAATTTTATATATTTTATTTGCGCCTTTTATTTGTGAGCCCGGTTAGCTCAGTCGGTAGAGCATCAGACTTTTAATCTGAGGGTCAAGGGTTCAAGTCCCTTATCGGGCGATATTTTTTTTTTTCGCAACGAAATTAAAGACACACATTTTCGATAATTTATAATAAAAGATAATAAATCCAAATGAAATAAATACGTTTGGAAATAATTAAAATATAAAATTGTGTCTTCGCAGCTTGTGCCCTGCGGCCTACCTCCTAATCAACAACAATCATGTGTGATCGTATTCACTATTCAGAATTTATTTCTAGACGTTTAAAATTTAAAAATATGTACTTGATTTAATAAATATGCAAATAGGCTACAGAAACAAATTAAATTATTTGGCTTTTGTTTAAAGACCGTTCTTTCCCACATCACAATGCTACTCAGCGTTTTATTTCTAATTTTGTTTTTTGATACAATTTGAATTGCAATTCATCTCGTTTTCATTAATTATAAGACGTATTGCTTGAATTGCAATTAAATTTGGAAAGTGGCTACGTTACAAAAAGTAACCACGCATTACAGTTATGATATTGCCTTTGTCGTCTCAATTTGAACGTATTTTGTCCATCTAAATCACCTACCATAATTAAAATTAGAAGTGGTCTGCATTGATAGCACTCAATTTCATTTTTATACATTGAAAAGGGTATTCCTTTGCATTAAATAGGATTATAAGCATGAAACTGTACATTTTAATTTATTGTTAATGTTGCCAGTCAACCTCTTTCTAACACAAAGACATTTTCCTATTTTCTTAGTACTTACTGGGGTCTGATATCCTGATACTGAAATAAATATTTTGTAGTGCTTTAATTTTATTTTAAAAAATGCTATTGAATTAAGTTAAAGTATTTAATAAATAAATTATTAAAAAAATAAAAATAACAACTATAGGGCCTATGCTTATATAATTATTATAATAATTTGCCTTTGGCCAACAATGCACAAGCAACTCAATTCTCAAGGTTTATCAGTTTATCTATTTATTTTTTTCTCCTTTAAAACTATACTTTTAAAAAAAAAGCAAAACATTTATTGCTTCAAACAAAGGAATACTTTCTACGTCTGGCAATTATTTTTTATTATTTCAAGTCGTTTAGCTGATACGTAAGATGATAACGTTTTGCATGTTGAAAGTCTGTGGAAAAAATGACAGGTGTTTCTCCGGTATCTTTGTTACAATTACAAGATTAAATATTACTGTGCCGTTTCTCTGAGTCTGTGTGATATTTATTTTAAGTCCAGTATAACTTAATGCGCTCTTGATTTTCTTATCGATTAAAAGTTGCTTCAAGTTAAAGCTGGAAAAATAACAGTTACTAAAACGAAGAGTAGTAATAGGGAGGAAAAAAAGTTAGCTAACGGAGTTAGCTTTGTTTTCTACCGCCTGAGTAAAATATTTTTATAACCCAATCAGGAAGAGTTGTATAACTTCATCAACAAAGGTGGCGCTATTGTTTACAATGGCTGTGTGAGGCAGAATCTCATTCTTGTTTACAGATACAAGATGCTACAAAGATTTCGTTTATTTCGATCCTTTGACATGATATGGTTTGTTTAAAGGAAAAGTATGGAGACAACGAAGGGGAATGCTTTGTGTTTAGATGAACATCTTCTGACTGAAAAGAATGAATCGGATAGAAAAAATAGCAATATTGGTGAAATGACGGAAGACAAGAAGAATGAGGATGATGCCGATCATGACAATAAAACTCAGGAGGTTTGTCCCTCAGAAATAACTTTGACAGAAGAATGTAACGATTCTCGTGATGACAGCATTAGTGGTGCATCTGAATCTGAAGGAGCTACTGGATCTGATGATGCCAATACCAAACATAATATTGTTGATGAAGATCAGTTAACATTTTTTTCTAATAATGGACCAGTGTTTCCTGCTCGTCAAAACAGAGATCTGCAGTTGGCAATGTCACATTCTGGCATAGATATGAGTATTTTAACAAATGCAGAGGATGCACATGATGTCCAGGCAAACAATACTATGAAAAAGGCTATTTTGTCATACATAGACAAAGTTGAAAATCAAACTTCTACTGTTAGGTCACTCAAAAGATCATCCTCTGGGCTATCACCAGGCAAAGAATCAAATTTAAAATTTCTTCCAAGTAGCAGCAATACTATAAATCATACAAATAACAATGAAATTCTTAATAAAGTAATAGCATCAAGTGTAGATACAGAAGCAGAGTCATTGCCACCCTTGAGTGCATCATTTTTCAACTGTCAATTTCAGACACCAAGTTGGATTGATGATCCACTGATAGGTGTTCCTCCAAGTGCCATGGAAAACAAAAATACACATAGGAAAACTGGGGCTGATATGAGGATTTTGACAGCATATATGCGGTCCTTGAATGAAATGAGACTACCAGAAGCTATACCACCAAATGAACTTGATAAATATTTGTCATCATTTTTCTTAGTGGTAAGAAAAGCTGATGGTAGTGAATATGAACCATGTAGTTTACGTGCCATGCTTGCAAGTATCGAACGATATTTAAGATTTAAGAATTACCCACTATCACTAACAAGGGACTCTGCATTTTCAAACATGAGAAATGTACTGAAACTTAAACAACAGACCTTACGTTCTATCGGGAAAGGACAAAAGACACCTAGTGAAGTATCACCATCTTCACTAGCCAGAGAAGGAAAAATAGCCCATCTTTTTAAATCTCAGGAAATGGGACCATACACACCGAGTTCTGTGGTATTCACTTTATGCTTTTACTTTTGTATGTACTTAAGGCTCCGCAAATCAACCGAAAACAAGAAACTACTTTGGGGAGATATTGTTTTATGTAAAGATGATAATGGTAGAGAATTTCTTACATTTTCTAGTCAGATGCTTAGACGAACTCAAAGTTCCTCCAAGTTAAATTTAAAACCGCGCATCTTTCGTGTTTGGGCTGACCCTAGCTGCCCAGAGAAAGATCCTGTTACAATTTATAAATTCTATGCCCAGAAACGACCAACATCTATGAATACAAACTTTGCCCCGTTCTATTTGGGAATCAATGTCTTATATCCAACACAAGGGCAGTTGTGGTACAGGCCTGCAGCAATGGGTATCAATAAACTTAATGAAATGGTTCGACAAATAAGAGATATAACTGGAGTTCGCAGCACTTCAGATTTTCATGGTGATCTTTTTAAAGCAGAAAAGCAAACTTCAGATATAGACATGAGCAGCAGAGATGACCAAAGCCCTTCCAATGATTTAACTGACAGGCAGGATTCTGAGTGTGATGTGAAAATGGAGGCTGTTGAAGATGGAGAGGAAGATGACGGAAATTCTAACCTTGCTATTGACTTTAGCCAAGAACAGCATGATCCTCCAATAGACTGCTCTCACCAAAACGGAATAGCAACTTCATCTGCACAACATATTGGCATGGCAGCTTTTAGGGGGGGAGTTCACACCACCACATACTCAGATGAGGAGAACAGTAATGATAGCTCTTCGCATCATTCATTTTCAACCAATTTGAATGGGGATTCAGGACATGATTTGAGAAACGGTCAAATTCATGACAGAGAAATAGACCTAACTAAAGGCAGCAGTCCTGACTTTCCCCTCAATTGCTCTACTAAAGGAAGGATGGCTTTTAATAGTACCGGTACAGAAGGTTTCAATAAAATTTTCCATCCTGGTAAGTCAAATCTCTACCCTTGCCAGTATTGGTGTAGAAAAACTTTAACTTATTTTAAAGCCTAGCAAAGTTTGTTTATAGTTTAAGCAAAGAATCGTCCATGACAAAAATTTAAACAAAAAAAATTAAGTACTTTATTAAATTATGTTTGCTCCTAATCAGTGGATTACACATTAATGGCAGACGCATTGGCCTTAAATTGATTATTATATATTTCATGTATTTTGCTTCAAAATGACTATTGTAAATAAAAATTGTAGGTAATTATTGTATTATATCAAAATTAGTCAATATTAAAAGAGGTACAAATCTATTACAAAAACCAATAGAAGAGCTCATCTAATTCTTAAAAATTGTTCACCTTATAGCTAGACCCTGAAACTAGCCTCTGATTGCCTTAAAAAATTATGAATCCACCAGTGACATCGCTGGAAGTATTCCATTGAGCATAACGTTTAAATGTCAATGCAGTAGTTTACATGCGAAGCAGCTCCCAGGGAGAGGCCCATGTACAATTGTTTATGAATAGACATAATGTTATAGCATATTTGAAATTATTTACTACAGGGTAAAAGAGAATTTGAAGAAAGAAAAAAAAATAGTTTTATCCTCCAAAAATAGGTGCCACCTTATTAAAAAAATAGAACTAGAGGAAGCTGCTCCCACCTACCAGCTATGCTGCTGGTACATGTATTGGTAAATTTACGTAATCTGGGCCACTCTTTACCTCGGTTGCCATCTTGGGTGCCATGACAGCATGTGTCATGGCATCCAAAATGGCGGCAGCGTAAAAAAAAAAAAAAGTACTGCAAAAAAACGACAGCTAAAATGGGGAGGGAAAAGAGAGAGAATGTGATGTTTTAGCTACTTACCCAGAGAAAAGAAAATAGGTTTAAAATATATTAAAAAAATAGAACAAGAGGAAGCTGCTCCCCCCTACCCGCTATGCTGCTGGTACATGTATTGGTAAATTTACGTAATCTGGGCCACTCTTTACCTCGGTTGCCATCTTGGGGGCCATGACAGCATGTGTCATGGCATCCAAAATGGCGGCAGCGTAAAAAAAAAAAAAAGTACTGCAAACACACGACAGCTAAAATGGGGAGGGAAAAGAGAGAGAATGTGATGTTTTAGCTACTTACCCAGAGAAAAGAAAATAGGTTTAAAATTATATGTAATAATTTCAGCCGGTTCATTAATTTTGTGGCGAATGTAGCAACTTGATTGTATCCCTTAGATATGTGGCAAGAAGTGTCAACGACATGCATCCGCCCCCTTTCCTGGCCAAATTTAGCCGTATACATTTTGTGGCGAACGTAGCAACTTTATTGTATCCCTCTAGATATGTGCCATGAGATCGCTCCCTTCCCTCAACTAATATACATGTGCTACAGTTACTTAGTGTTGAAAGAAAAGTGTAAAAATGAAGAAAAACAATACATAATTTTTTTTTAATAATGAAAATTGAAAACCCAACTTACAGATTGATAGAATTCACTTTTACACATTTTATTGCAGGTTCCAACAAAAATAAAATCCTTAAGTTGTCAGAAAAATCAATACAATACCCATTTTCCAAAATGCTAGAATAATAAAATATTATAATTTACCATCCAAGGAAATTATAATTTTAAAAATCCCATCAGCATATTAATATTTAAAATAAGAAAAGTTAACTCTTAGTGACAATCCGAGATTAAACAAAAGGGAGAAAATAGTATTCACATAACTCAAAGTGGCGCAGAAAGTGTAAATTGACCCATGTATCTCATCTCTTATAGCCTAGTGTATGTGTTTCAGTGACAATCGGGCAATATCTTTTTTTTTTATTATAGTAAATGCTATTTTTTGTGTCATTTCTGAAAATAGATGCACTTTAAACTCTTTTCACTGAATATTTACAAGAATATTAGAAATTTATTAAGGCATTTTCATTACAGATCGCAAAGATGTAAATCATTGTATCCGAAAAAGGTGCCAGCTTCAGTGACTCCATGTTTTCAATTTTTATTGACAACTTAATTTTGAATGGGTTTTTTTTTTTTTTTTTCAATTAGGGAACAAAAATATTTTGTTATTGCTTGTTAAAGTAAATAAAAAATGTTATGGTAGTGAATGACAGTTTTCAGTCATAAATGAAAAAACTATTTAAATACTTATCAGAAAAAATGTCAAATTTTATAAGTCATTTTAGATTTAAGTGACACACAATAGTTTAAAAAAAATTAAAATTAAAAGCTATAAAGTAGTTCTTAATAAAAAAATTGTTTGCGTATAACACATATTCACTTGCTAAATGCATGTTTTAAATTCAGGTGTTGGAGTTTCTGAAACCCTGAGTGTAAATGAAGCCAAACAGCAACTTATTGATATGGTGAAAAAAATGGAGTTTGCAGACATATTGGAATTTGACCAGTGGCTGAAAAGGGTTAAATTCAGCACCGATCCACATACAGGTTGGATTTTTTTTAAACCTTACTTATGCGAATTATGAAATGTTTAGCAATTATTTTCTTTACAATTATTTTGTAACTGTTATGTAATAATAAAATCTAAAATGAAAATAATTGTTTACATTTTGGATTTTTTTTTTTTTGCTGCACTAATGTTTATTTTTTTTCTCCATAAATTTATAAATTAGAAATTCTATCTTCCTGTTATAACACAATAGACATGTGTAGTTGAAATAAAATATGTTTTAAATAGAGGCAAACAATTTAAAAAATGTATTTTATTCAAATATTTTCCTTGCGCACATAATTACAGGGTACAAATTCCTGATACATATATTATATTTTTTATTAATTAATTTTTTTTAAACTTTAATTTCAGGTGATGTTGTATACAAGGAAGGAGAGCTTATGAATGTTAAAGCTATTAGTAGCACAGGTTCTAATGGTACAAACATTACCTTGAACATATCACTGACACCCCAAGCAATGCAAGGAGATGGACCTATAACTGTCACAGCCCTAACTTCCATTCCCTCTGATCAGCAACGAAATTCTTCCAGCAGCAAACTCAACTCTCAGCAAAATCGGCATCTATCAACATCAATAAAAAATTCATCCACATTTCCAATAGTTGGTTTGCCCCATGGCTTTGTCACCCCATCAACTGGTCAGTTGTCTCCAGACAAACCTCTGGACTTAGTTACAAGTCCGGTAAGTAGAAACACTAAATCATCTTTATCGTTTCAAGCTAAATCAAACCAGTCCCAAGGAAGCAATGGCGTTTTTCCTTCCATGACCTCCACCAGTGGAACGTCACACCTAAACCCTTCCCTGGCCAAGAGATTAAGACTCTCTGCAGAACAAGCTGAGGCATATACAAGTGCTTCCATCATGGCCAGCCTGAGCTCTGCTAATTTGATGAGTGAAAGGCTGCGTCTCCAACTCATGCAGGCTGGTCTGCGAATGGGGGACTATGGTTTAGATGCTCACACTGCAGGTCTTATGGACATGACTAGCACTGAAGCTCTGCGGTCCCAGCTGTTGCATCACTATGGAATAAAATCTGAACCAAAGTAAAAGACTGATCTAATCTTTGGACATATGTAAACCAATATATATATTTACACACATATACATATCTCATATCTGCTACCTCTATGTTTAATCGCAATGCCTTTAATTTATTCATGATCTGCACAAGATGCTTAAAGTTATTTCTTGTTTTCCCTTGAGATTGTTATCAATAAATAGTTACTAGATATAATATGCATGGTCAAAGGGCATTTTTTTTAAAATTTTTTTTGGTATGCATCTTTGTGTAAAATAAATTTTTTTAAATGTATTGCTTACAATATTCTAATTTGCGCTGTTTTTCGATGTTTGATAGCGATTTACCTGCCTTTACAATTTGTTGATACAAATGGTCACATTTCATGGAAACATTTATCATCTCACCTGAAAACAACCTCATATTGATCTCTTAATTTGTGATACTTATTGGATAATTTTCTCTTTTTTTTTTTTTCTTTCTAAAATAATTATTGTTGAGTGTTTGTCGTGATGGTATCATTATTACATATTATATCCTGCTGTCACAATAAACAAAATAAGTTAATTAAAAAAATATAAAGGGATGTCATCAATTATATGATTAAATTATATCACTTGCTTTTTCACTTCACACATGATGAAATAAATTTTAAAAAATTAAACTATTATTGTTAGCACATACTAAGTCAATATTTCATGACACATTATGTTAATTGTAGTAAATAATATGTGTGTCCTGCTAACCTAAAGAAACGACCTCGACTCTAAATTTCTTTCAACATAACAATTTCACTTTTTGAAAAAAAATGAAGAAAAAAGAAAAAGTTTAATAATTACTAAAAGTAAAATATTTTTGTTGTTATTGCCACCTTTTATATATTTATTTTTTAACGTCTGAAATAGTTTCACCTCCAAGTAGGCATATTTGTCTTGATCAAGTTGCAACTGTGCTGCAGATTTTCCCCAGCTTATGGCCTGCCAAGATATAATTATATTTAAAGTACAAGTTATGGGATACATTGGTATTCCATAAATTATATCTATAGTGCCATCGATGATATTGTAAATCAGCTATAACAAAAAAGGAAATTCATATTTTCACGTTTAGGGATTGTGTGAATAGTAGCTGCGTATGGTTGGAGTAATTTCTGCACACTCTCATATTTGAAAAATGTGATTTATATTATTATTTTATTGTTTTATATGGACGTCACATATCTTTGAAAGGGATGACACACATTGAAATGTTTCACTGAAAGTTGTACATTTCTTTCTCATCTTTGGTGAAGGTTTTTTTTTCTTCTTCTCTATTAAAACTATCTGACTTGAAAAGACAACGAAAAAGATATAGCGGATGTATATTTCTTTTAATTCTGCTAATTGTCACATATAAATGTCTTTTATGAAAAGATTTATTATTCTAGACTATCAATTCAAGAGGTTCTAATATTGCTTAGATTTTTAAACAAAAATTCATATGAATGAATTTTCCAGAAGTGGTATTCCTTCCATCAGTACATGTAACTTCTTTACTCAAGGCACATATATTTATTTGTAATCTTGCTAAATGATCTCTCAAGGGTTTTTTAAAACTGCTTTTTGAGTACCTCAAGCCAGCTGAATTAGCTTAGTAAAAAGTGACCATTTATTGTCCCACTGTTCTAGTCAATTTTTTTTCTGTTACACTGTGTATGTGTATCTAGACCTTTTAATAATTTCATTCAAGTGCAATGTGTTAGTCTCTTTTTATCAAAACTCTGAGATTACTGTCACCAGTCTTGTAAAAATATTCATTAGCCAGTTGAGATTCCCCCCCCCCCCTAATGTTTAAAATGATGATATCCATACTAATGTACATGTCTTTGTTTTACATGATAGACCTTTTAATAATTTCATTCAAGTTCAATGTGTTAGTCTCTTTTTATCAAAACTCTGAGATTACTGTCACCCGTCTTGTAAAAATATTCATTAGCCAGTTGAGATTCCCCCCCCCCCCTAATGTTTAAAATGATGATATCCATACTAATGTACATGTCTTTGTTTTACATGCATCTACCCTATTTTGACAGTGTACTCTTTGTATCATAAGGTTATGGGTAAACTTGACATTTGGTGTACTCTATAATGTAATCTTGCATTGGTCACAAAAGTTAACAGTAAGGCAGCAAAATGAGTTCCAACAAGCATAAACTTATCCATAATAAATTCCGCTCTGACATATTAAGAGACATACAATTATTCTGACTTTTGTGTATTCTGCAAACCATGTGCATATCGTATGCTGAAGAGAAATATTGTCAGCATGGCAGGGATAAATTATTGAGACAATTGCAAAAGGCAAAAATACCATTATAAAGACGGTTCTTAATGAATCACATTTTTATTTTGAGACTTTTAAAATCAAATTTTAAGAAAGTTTATGACCTGACTTGGATCTATCATATCATTACGTATCTCTTGCAACATGTAAATATTGTAAAAGACCTGTTAACTGTACAAATATTACTCATATGATGTCATACAAGACTTTATTTTTAATAAAACATTCTGGGTCGGTATGGTTACCGAAGTAAAGATAGTGCACCTTTTATGCACGCACAATTTTTAAAGAACTATTTTATTATGTTTAAACTCTGTGTTTAACTAATTGTAAAGTCCTGTTTTATTGTCCTATTGTTTCACACTTCTTTATTCCTTTGATACATTCACAACCTCTGTTTTTTTGTTGGGCTAAGCTTATAAATAATGAAATATTTCTATTTTATTTATCTGATATGTTTACATATTGGACAATGTTTCTTCCAAGTTTCTTTTACAAGTAATGTTACCGTTTTTTTTCTTTCTGTATTACTCTTTATTTGCTGATGTATTTGTTTTGTTGCTTGACAATAAAATTTTTTTTAAAATGTCTGATATGCTGGAGCATCCTAGTTTCAATATTATTAGCAGAAATGATAGTGACTAGCCCTCTAAAATTTAATTTCAAAGTCATATTAAAACTTGTGTTAGAGTTTGTGTGATTTTTCTGCTGTGTTAATGTTTTAGCAGTATATGATGAAATTTAAAAAAAAACAATCCCTTTGTTTTATATATGCACTTCTGTTTGGGCACTCATTTGGAAAGTCACTAATCTACCTGTAAATCACCCTTACTTTTTAAAGCACTTATGCCTCCCTGCAAAGGCTGATCTCTCATTGTATAGACTTTGTTGATTCCTGATCATTAGTGCTGTTGCCATGTCAGTTATTTAAAAAGATTATATATGCACCACAAACTTTATCACTCAGGTGGATCTTCCTTTACCACTATCACACCACTGTGATTAGGGTGGACACATTGCAAGTTGTAATTAGAATGCCTGCAGACCTAAACATACTCTTTCATCACCTAGTCAGTAAATCTATGAAATATTTGTAGGGGGCATAGTAATGGACAATGATGTTGTTCATATTGTACAAACTGTTGAAATTTTACCTCACTCAAACTTCTATACCTTTACATGTTTATTATTATTATGTTTACACAAATCTACCAACGATTGTTGAGCAAGTGATCTCCCTTTCACATATCTCTTATCTTCCTTATATTCATTGTGAAGCTGAAAAATAAACTGCACATTTCAAGTTTAGAAAGATCACCATATCCATTTTCATGTCCAGAGGAAAAGCCTGCTATAATTCTTTAATCTTTAACAACGAAATATATTTTATCAGATTTTTAATATCTGTGTACACATGTATAAAAGTGCATATTTTTACTCTGCTAGGATTAAACAGTCTTTTAATAAATTAAAACAAATTTGTTTCAGTTAGAAATAGCCTGTTGTCAAATTTTGTTTTAAAAACTTTCAACAATTGCATATTTATACACCTTAAAGTTAACTTACATCAGAACCATAGTAAATACAACATTTAAAAGATCTGAGCCAATTTCATCATTAATTTGAAATAAAGGTTTTATGGGGGAAGGTCTATAAATGTCAATGACCTTTGTAAAGGTAAATAAAAGTCAGTAGTTAAATCAATTCACTTTTAAGTATCTAGACCTTACTTTACCATTGGCTTTTTTTCATTGTTTAATTATATATACAGCCTCTTCTATGTTTATAGAAAGAAAAGCATTTCCATAAAATGGCAGACAATTATCTGGAAATCTGTAGCCTAAAATAAAGATTTTGAAGCCCACTAACATTTTCAGATTTTAGAAATGCACTTGTTTATTTTAAATATCATTCAGATCTTAAACTGCAGTTGAAAATCTTTAATCTCAGGTTTAACTGTTTCCATATATCCATATATACTAATTTATATCAAAAATAAGATCACCAATTTATAAGTCCAATTTAAAGATTATATTATTTTCTTTTTAAAAAAATAAAAAATCAACTACAATGCAGTATCTTAATCTATATTTTCTCTACTGTTACACCACATCAGGTCTGTATATCATTTTTGAATTCACTCTGTTATTTATAAAACTATTTATTTCATAAGGTGGAGGACACTAGTCATGATTCTCATTTTTGTTTAATTGCATTCTATTGTTTTATTTTTTTATCTCCATAATATACTTGTGAAATATGTTTCTGCAAATTGAAAACTGCTTGTAATAGGTGTCATAACTTCCTTGCTAATCTTTTTTTTTTTTTTTTTTTAGAAATATCACAATGAAAAAAAAATTAATCTTGCTAAGCACCTAATATTCTTTCATAAAATTCAGGTCCATAAAATGATTTGTAGCTTATGACCTTTTTCTTTAAGGAAGTAAGCATTTGGTGATTTTTTAAAAAAATCTAATACTATGCAGTTTTTAAGTTGCATCAACACATTGATAAATATTATGTAATATAAATATGATATACATTTTAATATTTATTTGTTTCTCTTTTTATTCATGTTCCATTTAACTGAAGAAAAGCTGTTGATAACTTTGAGCAACTAACATGACTTCTATTCCTGTCTCTTATATATTTGTCCTGACAATTTTTTTTAAAGTTCACATACATTTTCACAAAAATAAATCCTTGGATATGAGGAATTTAAAAAAAAATAAAAGTTCCGTCTTTATCATTAGTGAATAAAAATCAATTGTTTAGGAACAATCAAGTTTGGTTAGACTAAATATTGAAAGTCACATTAATATTTTTTTTTATAAGATGCATGTATTTCAAGGGTTGAAAAAATATTAGTAGCAGAAGAAAAAAAATGCTTCAAATCTGAACTTCTTAAAATATTAATTTTCAACACATTTAAAAGATCTCCATTCATGCCATATTTTACATACCATAAATATTAATCCAAGTATTTTAATTGCATTTATAGGTGTGCCAAGAGGAAATTTTAAAAAGGTGCCTTGCTCCCACCATTTATTTTGTTCCAACGCAGTTAAACTTTTTATTAATCTTATTGAAAAATATTGGGGCAATACCTTTTGTAGCTAATCTTAAAGATGACACAATCTCAGGAAAACGCTTCCAAAGAAAGAAAAAAAGTAATAAATTTCCTACCTCTCAAAGCTTGTCATAAATACCTTGAATCAATTGCTGTTTAGCTGTTGTCATTTTATCATTATTTGCTGTGTGTAAATGCTTAAATCTTAGCATCTGATATTATTGTTATTATTATCAATAATAATATTCTCATTTAATTAGAACTGCTGTGTATGGCCTCAGGGGAAGCAGATCATTTAAAGCATAGAAACATTGTGAACATTACTTTTAAGAATAGAACTCTATATCGTGTTTTGTGGACTTTTATTTTGGTCAATTTTGAAGTGAAAATGCCAAGAATAAATGGATTGAACTATAAGCTATAACGTTCAGCTCCATTTCTGAAGAGAGAAGATTCTTTAGCTTTGTTTTAAAAAAAAATTTAATGCATTTATTAACTAAAAGCCAAATGAGTTTCAGCTTCTTTTGTTGGTGGAAAATGTTGTACACTGTAATATTATGAAAAAGATGTTATTGCTGACCTGAACTACATGAATAAATATATCAATGAAGTATACCATTCTGCTTAGCTCCTAATTTATTGACAGCCTAATTACATCATCATTCTAGTTTTATGTACATTATGCCTGGTGTTGGGGAAACAATTACAAAAAAAAACATAATCAAAATAAATATTCATATTGA